AAAATAATGACGCTTCTCTTTTCGTGTGTTCGTTTTTGCACATTGAAATATTTTCAAGACAACCGTCACGTTTATAATCGGAAAAATAATTGCAATTGAAAAATAAACACAAAAGAATTAACACACCGCCCTGGTTCGTTTATTCGTGAAACATATTTGTGAAAATATACTTGTCGCGCTGAAATCGATGGTGTTGAATTTCTTTGGAAAAATTAGAATTATCCGCGCGCGCCCGTATCGAGCTGGATGTCCCGTGGGAGCAAACAAGGGCGACAAACAGGACCTTGATGACACGAGTCAATATCGATCAGCGTTCAGTTTACATCCTGTTTACTCTCGCTAAACGCTCCGCGAAGCGCGCCACCGATACCGAGAGAGTCCCGGAGTTTCTCTCTGTTCGAGCGTGGAACGAGAACAGATAAATTAACGCATTAATTAATTGTAAGCCGGCTAAAGGGACACGGACGCCCAATGTGTGACGTGGTTCGGCAGGGATATTGCACCGATATGATCTGACGGGTATCACACGCAGCTGTCCGAGTTATTCCGGAATTATGCTGGCCTGCGTGAACCTGTCCGCGAATGGCGGCCTCCGGTTGGTTCGCGTGCGTGGCACGTCGGCATAGATAGCAACTGTCTCGCGTCGCGAACGTGTTCCGCTCGCTGACACGTAGTAGCCGTTGCACACGTGCGACGATGCGTGCGCGTGCACTGTTCCGAACGAGTATGCACTCGCCACCAACGGCGATGAGAAACGGAAGGTATCATGAATGTCCGATTCGTGACGATGTTACCCACGAAACACTCGAGTCGAACTCGTTCAGATGCCTGTGTCAGCATTGTTCAGAAAATTGAAAGAATATCTAGGAAAAAGCATAGTAAGTACCTACGTTCGAGAATCGACGACTTCTAAAGAGAAATAGATCAAAGGGAGCAAATATGGTTGACTTCGACTACTGTCAGACTGTTGGTTAAGTTCAATATGAAACTATGTCGATAATATGGTTAAACGAATAAGCGGATGTCTGTGTAATAAATCGCGATGTGAAAGATATAATAAATAGATCCCCAAAAGATAAATTTCGATGTCATCCGTCGAAACTAGCGCTACGTTTCGCGCGTACAACAGAAATATCGGCTTTGCTTGCGTAATTCCCTAGTTGCAAAAGAACTTCCCGTATTCAAAACAGACATCCAGTTTCGATTCTATTAGATAAACATTGCATATCCCATCGACGTAATCCTGCAGTGACACACCGCTATCGTTTAGCCGCACTACTCCAACAAAATTCCCGAATTCTACTCGTAAAAATGTTCTGTATTCAACGATGGTAGTCAATCTCGTCCCGTTGGGTAAATATTACTTCTGTCGGTTTTGCCCGCTCTCTCTCTCTATCAGATTCGGCCTCATTCGAAAGCGAGGAATTTCCATTCGGGCGATTTTTTTAGTTGCCTCGGCATTAAAGATGTAAATGGAATTTGAGATTGTCGCGGTGATCCGCGGTCGCGTGCTCATCGATAACGCATCTGTATACGCATGTGTGTGCACCTCCGACATGCGTACGCGCACACAGGTGGCCGTCACGCATCCCCGTGTTCGCCCCTGCTCGCATATTGCGTACAACCCGAGCTGCGTGCGTTCGGGTGAACTCATGAATGTCCGATACGCGCTTTGAGGGACCGCGCGACCACGGTAGGAACGCACCGCGAGAAGGTAATCGCAGGTTGACGTGGCCCGGAGGTAAATAGAGTACGGCGGCGGCGGCGGCGGTGGCGGCAACGGCGGTGGGGATGGCCGGGAGCGAAATTCACAGCCGTGTCCGTGATGGGATTTGACGGCGTTACCGTAGATTTTGTACACCGCGCGGCTTGCTGCCTCGGATAAACAGTGACGCGACGTACTCTGCGTCAACCGCCTTTTTCAGTGCAAAAAACTGTCGTATCATCGGACTCTGTCTTGATAGAGACGCAAATGCTTGGCGTTTAATAAGTGAAAAGCATCGAGAAAATTGCGCGAGGTAAATATCCCACAATTCGAGTAATTGGATAGAGTAAGATGTGCTTTAATCTTTAGCCCGAGTACAACGACGTCAATGCGCTGAGATACTGCTGTCTTTCTAATTTCACAGATATGGCAATTTACGCGTCTCGCATTCGTCGAGTGTTTGCTCGAGTACCCCTTTTAGCTTTTGCCGCAGTAATCCGTTGTTCTCGCGTAATCGACGGCACCCGTTTCTGGTTAGGCAAGGCAGTGTTAACAAGCTTTACATAAGCAACGGCGCAAGCAACTACCAACCACGGCGACATCAAAGAGAATCCGTCCTCTCCGCCCTGATCCATCGTGAAGTAGAACAACCTGCGCAGCCAACTATAGACTAATACGGCAAACTCGAAGAACTGTACCAGCACGGTGACTCGAGAAATTATTTTTGCATGTCAAAACCATAGTATATACGTGCGCATATATACAGTTAAAAGGATCAATAAAAACGTGATCTTTGCAAATTCTTGGCGGAACACACGATAGATAAAAAGATAAAATATGTGTGTTATGTAACTGTTTTTATTCCATATTTTCGATTTAGTTTTCTTATTAAGAAACAGCTTGATGACCAAGTGTGTGCGCGCGCACACACATGCACACACACACACACACAAATACGTTGTTGCTAAAGCGCGCTCGTGTTTCGAATAAATTATGTATGATCGTCCTACACTTAGCACAAGATTTAGGATACGATCAAAGCCGTGCGCTTTAACGAGGATTGCATAAGCAATACGTGAGCAATTGACTACTGACCATGCGATCAAAGAGAATCCCTGATTTTCCACTGGATCCATCAGCAACGACCTTGTAGAGTATCCTATTTAACATCCAGTAAGCAACGTTCAAGGGACCGTGTATTCTCTCTCCTCATCCTCCTTGCTCGCACCCTCTTCTTAGCCTGTAGGGCAACGTTAGTCGCGCTTGGGGGATGTTTCTAACCGCCAATCAGCCGGCGGGCGATAATCGCGGCTCGGTCACGTCAGTTAAAATCGCTGTCAATCCGGAATTCAAAGGCGAACTTTCCTCGTTGCGGTTGCTATGTTCGATGGCAACAGAGAGTGCGGGCGAGAGAATCCGCCAATCCTATATACGCGCCTATATTCGTGCCGCTTTGCCCGGGGACACAATAGAGCGGTGATTCCCGGGGGAATATCAGAGAAGAGGAGTACTCCTCTACCGCTATGTGCCGGTCGACGTTGTAACCCACCGCCACCCATTGGCCGCCAGTGAGAGAGCACTTCCTGTTAGCCTCGACCCTCGTCCGCAACCAGCCACAGGCCGCAAGCCTCAGTTCCTGCGAGCCGTAGCCTCTAACGTCACGCTACTCCAGGCTTGACCTCCCGCCGACAGCGTAATTGTTTAGAAACCCCTTGATCTGTAATTCCAGCGCACCCGACTATCCTCCCTGCGCGCGAAACATCGTTAACACGATTCCAACGCCTTGCCACCATCGCCGCTACACGGATCTATGTACACACACATACAAATATATATATATATATATATACATATATATATTTTATATATATATACATATATATATTTTATATATATATACATATATATATATCGCCCGTTTTGTCGGGCTTTCGCACACCCTTGATAGCTAGCGCGCGTGCATAACGCGTGGTTCGCACGCTTCACTCCGCAGAGGTTTGTTTCGCGAGATTGAACGAGGTATGCGAGGAATCGGTTGCGGTGCGCCTCGGAGAAGCGGCCTGCGGTCGGGAATCTTGCATGTGACAACGAGAAGATGCGAGAGACGAAGAGCTCGGCAAATTGAATTTGCCGTTGATTTTATGTTGTTCTATTATGATTAAATATTAAATTTTTAATTAAAAATGCACGATTTCTTATTTTCTGCTACAGATGAAATACAAGTACAGATAACATAAGTATTGTATTATTTGACGTAAAAAATAAGTTTGGTTTGAATTAGGTTTTTAAAATAAAAAAATATCTTCTATTCTCGAAAGTATTATCTTTAAGAGATCTAGAAGAATCTAATCAAGTATAATTCTTATAACATAATATAGTTACTTAAAGAAAATTAGTACAAAAAATAAGCATTTAAAAATATGTCACCCATGTGTACATATTTTATATGCAACGATGAAAGTTCTGTTTCAAGTTCTCGTATTCTTAAAAACAAAATAACCTATGTATTATATATATAAATTATAAAAATTTTTCATTATCACACGCGTTTTTTTCTCTCTCTCTCTCGACTTGTCTGGTTTTTTTTTTGGAAACTAAATAGTGAAACCAACGAGAATACATTTCCAGCAACGAGGGATTTATTCTACAGGTGGTCTGAAATTTAGGCGAATTTTGGTGAAATATATTTTACGAGAAAAGATCTGACAGTTCCTGTCCGACCAGAGCGTGACATCAAATTCTTTCTGACGGAAATAGTTTCTCGTAATACACGCGAAACTTCACGTTCGCCCCTTTCATTGGAAAATGTGTACGACGTGTGACTTTTACTCAAGTCAACCGCATGTTACATACGACAGATACTTCACACATACGTATATATCCACCTCTCTTTTTCTCTCTTTCTCACAGTTTCATGAAATTCTTTAGAAAGTCACGTATTTGCGATCGTCGGAGCGAATTTTACGGGAAAATGCGACTATTTAATCTCTCAAAAATGAAATTGTTCATGATTTAACGATTTTCGTTTATATTTCTTGTATTATTTTAAATTTTGCATGTATACCATTATGCTCGAACATATAAATAATTAATCCAATAGATATTAATAATGTAGCTTTTGAATTGGAATTAATAAAGTTTTTTATACTAGTCTCTAATCAACGCAAATTTTAACTCTCACATTATACATTTTTTTTATTCCGCGTTTTGTTCTATTTGTGTGTTGAAGCACGTTATTATTAGAAAATTCAAATGTAACAAAGCGTATAACAAAACTTGAACGCGTTCTACTTACAATATCCTCCAGTTTTGAGCATCCTTTCCTGGTGGTGCAGATCAAGGCGACGATGACTCCGCCTCCGAACATAAGCAGAAGAAATACCGCCAGTTTCCAGCCGTGATCTCTTTGCGGAATAAGTTTCTTGGCCGCCGGTAATCTGGCGACTTCCGTCGTAGAGACACCAAAGCGGGACGCTTTCACGAGAATTGTCCTGAGACGTCTCGACGCTTTTTCGCAAGCCATTTTCGTCGGGTTGCTCTTCGAAGCTGAGCTCCTCGACCTTACGTGCACGTGATCCATCTTCGGGATTCGCCGCGTTTCAGTGTCCACGTATAACAAATTACACGCGCGAACTCGCCCGATTCTTTAGCAAAGAAGAGATCCCGAAGCTCTCTCCGACTGTTTGCGATCTGTCCAAGTTTCGAGAGGTGCGCGAACGAACATCGGACGAGTATCGAAGTATCGGCGTTGTCCGGAAATGGACTCTGTTCGATCACAATACTCACTTCGAGGTGTGTGGGATTCACTAAACTCACCACGTTACTACAACCAACGCGAGTATTCAAATATCGCGCGGTCCATTTCGCGATTGAATTCTCTCGTGTCGAACACGCCGGACAGCGTTCTCTTCGGAATTCGCGTCGAACCGGTAAGAGCTTTACGGTTCACCGCACTGCGTTTTATCACTATCACGTTGCGTGTACTTTGAAAGTATAAAGACAGAATAGTTGCATAAAATAATGTAACTTATCATTATCACGATCTTATCAGTATGATTGTTTAATCTCAATTTACTATATCGTGTTGCTCAAGTTTACTTTGTAAATTGCGAACGTTTCGTACTTTGCAAACGTTTTATCTGTTTCGAGAGGTGATGATATTCTCGCTGTACTTTCTTTAACTATCGGAAAAGTGCAATTTGGAGCGTCTACTCGTTACTTTTCCTATGTGTGTGTGTGTGTGTGTGTGAACTCTCCCACGGGTTTTATGAGATTATACCGGACGATTCCGCGCTATCGCGGCTCTCGCCTCTTGAGTCGCGGACGTAACGCGCCCCCAAGTCGTTATACTTTTATGCTCGCGACGTGGGAGGACACCGAATGGCAAGGCGGCGGTGCTGAAATGAGAATTTTAGAACGAAGAATGACCGGGAGAGAGCCGCCAGCAAAATAGAGAGGATTGCAGCCGACAGGATGGACGATGCTACACCCTTTTGAATTTTGCTATTTGCCAGATGATATTCGCGACCCTTGGTCACCTCGATTTGGCTTGCGTTCCAACACCGTCTATTTCTTCTTGCACTGTTAGAATTTCACGAGATATCACGTTGCTTGAGAAACTCCCATCGCATTTGTGATATTTTAAAAAGAATGTTGTGAAGAAATGTTGTTACAAAAAAAGAGTTCAAAATTATATGAAGTAGTGTAATTTATCTGTTTCTTTTTGTTTTCGTCTTCCGAGTTGATTCGAAGAAAACTTCGTTCCGATGCGACTAGTCGTTTTACTTGGGCGTATCTTTCGCACCCAATCATGGATCGAAGAGTGATCGCTTGTTGTTCGCTGATCGAGCGACTAACGGGATATTCGCGCTCTCATGAAGACGCTATTAATCTCGCCAGCTCGGTCATTTTGCCGCGACCCGATGACCGGAAGAGAAAATTAATTCTCCTCGATCGAATAGGTTTTCACACGACAGCCTCATTCTTTCAGAGAGAAACGCTCGTTCGTGGCGCCGTCAAAGTTTGCTTCAATTTTACCGTCCGACGAACGCTAGCCCATCCGTTTCTGTATAGCGTCGCTTGTCTATATACGCCGACGTAACTTTTATTTGTCAGATATTGGCACTTCACGGTTTATTCACCCGAGACTTCTTTTACGATCAAACGTGGAGTTCTTAATGATCAAACAACATTTTTCATTTGCCCGTATCGTTGCGCAGCATCTGTAAAAGATAATTGCATGTTTAATAGCATAATTCAGAGGCTGATATATATTTATATATAAAATTTTTACCCACTCTTGATATATCTAATATTATATACGCTACAAATATATAGAGATATTACAGCAACCGAGCGAAAAGGAAAGGAAAAAGAACACCATTGATTCTTCATTTTCCGTGAAATTACACGAAATTACACCAAAATAGTGCCACCAAGCAGCACATAAACACTAATATAAAGCACTATTCTGTCGTAGGAAAGTTAGATATGCTTCTGGAAAACAAGGAAGAGAAAGAGGGAGAGAGAAAAAGAGAAGGGAAGATGGTTCAACGATTTAGTTCTACTGGCAAACTGCGATCGACGGTCGCGATTCGATTCCAATGCTCATCGATCGCGATATAATGTGTCTCGAGGTGAGTAGATGGATTTCGAGTGTATTAAAGATGAAAGCAATATCGGAGATGGAATTACCCGCGCGCGTGGCCAACGATACCACGACGAAAATACTTGTTTCCGCCGTGGGGAGGAAGAGAAGGACACGTAACGAATGGCTCGTCACAAGGGCTATGTCCGAGGATTAAGTGAGAATTATCCCGGATTCCGCTTCTCGAATTCCATCCGCTTCATCCCGTTTCCGTCGACTCGCGTATAAGCGCCGGCGCGTCGACCGACCGGCCGGACGGACGCCGGGGCTCCTTCCCTCTTTTCCGTAACTCTTCTCCGTTTAATCTAGGATCCGCTGGTAATTGCGTTATTACGTCTGAGAGAAAACACGTTCCTTTTCACAACGGTCACGTACGAATATATCGTTTCCCGTGAATGCGGTTTCATTGTTTCTCTCAATGCTTCAAGCCACGCCGCTCGCCTGTGGGGAAAAAGTTCTTTCTTTGAGAGTTACGGGAATAGAAAAATGTTACGTCTCCGTACCTATATTTTTATTTGTACCGTACGGGATATATATAAATATATATGTATTTTTTTAACTGCTGTTGAGAGAAATAATGCCTAGTTTTTCACTCGCAATTGCTAATTTACAAAAACAACAATACAACCGTTATTTAATAGTGTTCCATTAATTCACGTTGTTTTCGCATAAACTATCGAGAAATGATTCCTTTCATTTTCTTAATTTTTATTTATATGATAAATGTAGTTGAAAAAGAAAATATGTGATTAAGTTTTTGACACGATTGTGAGATTAACACGCAAAATAAAATAAGTATCGCACAATATTATTGGACAAAAGAAAGCATGCATCTCATTTCGCAGCACGAAGAGTTCTTAAAGCAAACCCGCGTGGCCGTGACGGGAACGCCATTTATAAGATAACAAGGCGGTCCGGAGAACGGTTCTGAAATGTTCTCGAGTGTGCTGGCGCCATATCTATTGAAAATCCCAGTGGTGGATACAAACGAGGAGAATGGAGCGCCGCCGACGGAAATTACGTCGCACGCGGACCGTGAGCGTTTCTGGCTTACATCAGCGGTGATTAATTTCGGGAGATTAGCAGGGCACCGGTCGTTAGAATTAAACGGTGGAATATAGCGGATCCAAAATCGCCTTGTCGACTCTACATTAGACCGCGCTAATTAGCTCGTCGCATTGACCGAAGAATCCCGGCGTATTAGAATTTAAGTTCCCACAGATTGTACATGACCTTAAACATCGCGCTCGTGTTCGCATTACATAAAGTTCACGATTAAAGGCTACGTGCCTCTAAGCCGGCTGAAAGCACACAGCGGGCACAGTAAGAGGACCTCGAGAACGAGCCCTCAAAATGGTGAGGTTCCTTGGCACGTTCTCATACACGGGCTCTCATGCGAATGTTACGACTATTGCAGTCTGGAGAGTTTCGAGTGGGAATTAGCACGGCACGATTAAGCTTATGCCCTTTAAGGCCGAGATTATCGTTAGCGGGAAGTGATTTAGATACGGACCTGGAACCCCCGTAGAAAAGTTGCTAAGTGTGGGCGAACAGGCGTCGGCCGTTTGGAGCAAGTTTCGCGGAATGGTTCGTGTGACGAACTCTCGCGGAGTTGTGCCTCCGCAAAGTCGTTCGCGATAGTATCGGTGCGTGAATGTGTCGCGTGAAGCATTGCCGTCTGGCTTGGCGCACGAAAATTGCTTCCTGTGTTGCCGAGAACTCGATGAATCTAAAATTCCATGTATAAAAACTAAAAGAAGAAATAAAATGTTCATGCCTTTCCCTATATGTAATTTTAGTGTAATCACAAACTCTTATATAGCACGAAAATAATTTTCTTAAATTTATAAATTACTACTTTGCAAAGGGGCAAAAGTTTTTGCGAATTGCATTACGCTGCCTGACTAAATATCAAATATGTATACACCTCGCATTTCTCAGCGAATTCTAATTTTCTCGGAAGCGACTGTATATATTTGCCCGCGGGTATAAACGCCGTTCTCAAAGACTCATGTTGATTAATTTCAATCTTCAATCATCTTTCCTACTGACTACACAAAGAGAAAAAAAAACAAGAACTGCGTTGTTATTAACGTCGTCAGAGTCCAAACTCTAAGTCCGTATCGTTCTTTCAAAAGTATCCTTGGAAGCGCGTCCCCGGGGCAAGTAAAGTTTCGAGTTTACGTTCGGTAGACCCCTTCGAAAGTTAAATAAAATAAAATCGGAAAAAGCGACAGCGTTTTTTGTTTTTTTTCTTTTTTCTTCTGTTTTAGCTGTCGTGCGGTAATCGTCGACGTTGACCATCGAACTTCCGTGCATCGTCCGGTCGCTATCCCGGAGATCTTCCCCCCTCTTTCTCCCTCCCCCCAAGCTCGTAGATCGCGGCGCTTTTATCGGATAAAACTCGAAGAAGAAGTACGGCCGGCAAAGCCATCGAGCGGCCTGCTGCTCGCCAAAGAAAATGAGATAGCTTAATAAGGCGGCGTCCTCCGGTGTAATTACGCGCCCCAAGTTCCTCGCTATTTTCGCGCTGCGAGTAATTAGAATACCGATAGCTTCAGCGGGAGTGTAAGCGCGCGCGCCGGCGTCTCAATGCGACGCTTAAGATTCCCATTTATTTCCGGCTGAAATGTCACACAGGATTTCCAAGACCGCGCCGTTCTCTCACGGAATTCCAGACAGATAAATGTCGCAGGCACGATTCACTAGAAATCGGCGCCGACAGCGTCTCTGCATTGACGACGTCGCGTCGAAATATTAAACGTTTGGTGTTATTGGCTTTGAACTGATTATTAAACGAGCTTCCGTAAATATTTAAACGTAAAACGGTCAAGGAGATCGCGCGACGTTTAAAGATGACACTTGATCTTAATTATATAAAACGCTGTGACATAAATAAGAAATTTGAATTTTCCAATGTTTTATCTCAGTAATGTTCTATCTCAGTAATGTTCTATCTCAGTAAAGATTTTATTTGTATTTACAACTTGAAAAAATATATGTGTGTGTGTGCGCGCGCGCGCGTGAATATTACTGAGATATTTAGACTTTGAACGGCTATTGATGGTTCACTACACATGTATGCCATATATTCTTATTGATTTCTTACATGTTTTCTTTCTAAAAATTTTTTGCATAATTTACATAAAAAGTCTGGAAATAGACTACGACTTCAACACACCTTGGCAAAATAACCTTGAATACCTTATTTAATAATATTACTAATTTATACACTGCATTATATTTAATATCTTCAAAGTGACGCAGCTAAAGCGATTATATCCTCGTCGGGTCGATCTCTTCCAAGCTACGTGTCTCTCGAAGGTAGAGCTCCAGAGCCGCTCGAATGAATAAATAAAATAGCTTCGATGCTCTCTTCCTCAGTAATTTATCGGCATGCTATCGAGCGTTCGATCTGAGACGCGGAGGCGAAGATGCTATATCGTACTGTGAGAACGGTAATTTAAATGGCATCGACAAAGCGAACAGCACAAATATTTTCGGCTGGAATATCAGATTGCGGGCATTGAATACTACAAAATGCGCGGAAATTGAATAAATCGCATTAACAAATTGTGCGTATTAATGCATTGCAAAATGTATAGATACATCTTTCATTTACGATTTACGCTCCAGCAAAATGCGCAGCTTATCTTTAATTATATATAGCCCGATGTGTAGTTGCACTTATTTTATTATATAATATAAATATTATATATATTTATTAGAATTAAAAAAATTATTCTCTCCCAATTGTATTCACCACACGTGATATAATAGACACTACTGCAATCTCTATTTCATATTTTACAAAGATACAGATGTTTGTGCAGCAATATAGGTTTTCGCTTTTGTAAAAAAACCGAGATATCGACAATCGAGCGTTTCATATCGCGAGAATTTTTCGAATTTTCGACGAAATTAAGTATATTCGTTAAAAGAGAGAGAGAGAAGGGGAAGAGAGAGAAGCGTGAGGGAAACTTGTTCGGGCTCGCCTGGTTATGGCTTGATATATCGTCCAGTTACACGCACTCGGTGGACTTGCCGGGCTTAATGTGATTTACAGGAGGGACAGAAGTTTCGAGCGATGGACCGTATGTTTCGAAAGCTCCGGGAAATTATTGGATACGTGACAACTCGGGTTACTTTGGGCACGTCCAGAAGCGAAATTGACATCGGCGAGGATGGGAAAGGATAAAGTCGTAAAACGATATGACTCGTTACGCTCGTATCTCTCCGCTCTCTGCGCGACGCGTAACAACTCACAAGTAGTAAACCCCGTAATCAATGAAACGCCGCTACGAATACATAATTTCAAATATCTATATAGATACATATTTGTATATAACGTATAGTTTAATTTTTTAAATAAATTTTAAACAAAGTTTCAATTATTTTCAAGTTTTTAATTAGATCACAAAATCATATTTGACAAATTTGTGGAATATAAATGTATAACTCTTTAATATATATATATATTTTATGTATTCAGAATTAATATTACTATGTATTTTCGACATTTTGTAGGAATGTTCAATTCTCAAAAACGATCGATTGGATCAAAGAACAGAACAT